TGGGGCCACGAGACGTATGAGATGTGTGCCGACACGAGTGCGGTGGTGCCATATGGGCGCTGCCATTGGAGCCTTCGGTCGAGCTTCCTGTGGGGTCACGAAACGTGTGTTGGGAGTGCCGAAAACGGGTGCGTTGGTGCTACGCGGGCGCTGCCATTGGGGCCTTCGGTGGAGCCGTCTCTGGGGCCACGAAACGTGTGAGGGGTTCGTCTTAACGGGTTCGGTAATGCCATGCGGGCCTTGCCACTGGAGCCTTCGGTGGAGCTCATTTTGGGGCCACGAAGCGTGTGAGGGGTGTGCCGAAACCAGTGCGGTGGTGCCACGCGGGCGCTGCCATTGGAGCTGTCGGTGGGGCTCCCGTTTGGGCCACGAAGTGTGTGAGGCATGTGCCGAAGCCAGTGCGGTGGTGCCATGCAGGCGTTGCCATTGAAGCCTTCGGTGGAGCTCCCTCTGGGGCCACGGAGCGTGAGTCCTGTGTGCGGACATGCTTTACATGCAGAGGGCAGAGGCAGGGATGGGAGGAGGGAGGAGGGGGGGGAGGGGAGGGGGGGGAGGAGAGGAAAGGAGAGGAGAGAAGAGTAGAGGAGAGGAGTGGAGGGGAGTAGGGGAGAGGAGAGGAGAGGAGAGGAAAGGAGAGGCGCTCAGCGCATCTCCTCTCCTCTCCTCTCCTGATATTGGGTCTTCGTTTTGAAGAGACAGTATCTCTTCAAAACGAAGACCCAACACCACAGGATGGTTCGAACAAAAATCGACGGACTTTTGTCTGATAGTATTCGGCTCGTTGGGGCCCTGACTGGGCCTCAGGACCGTGAAACATATCGGCTCAGGATCAGATTTCGGTTTCGGGGAAGAGGTCTAAGCCTCGGGGGGTCGACGTTGTGAGCAAGATCGCGACGTCGGAGGTATGTGGAGGGGTGGCCAGGGCAACCACTGGGGGAGACTGGCTCAGGGGGGGCGGCATCGGCCCCTGCTCGCCCATCCACCTCCGACAGGGGCCCGATGTCGGGGCGCTGGCGCCGATCTATCGGTGACGTATCGCCGGCTTCAGCTCGATGCTCCCCCCTCGGGCCGGTCCCCCTCAAGCATTCCCCCTCCCTCAAGGGGAGAGGGAGGAAGGATGGAGCATAGAGGGGAGAGGGAGGAGAAGGAAGGACGGATGGAGGGAGGGAGGGAGGATGGAGCACAGAGGGGAGAGGAAGGAGGAGGAAGCACACAGTGCAGGGAGGAGCAGGACGGACGGATGGAGGGAGGGAGGGGGCAGGGCGGCAGAGGGAGGGCGGCGGAGAAGGAGGAAGAGGACTCGGTTTGGATAGGTCTCCGATGTTTCAGGAGGAGGGCTGAGGGCGAGTCGGGGGGGGGTGCAGCATCTGCGATTTGCAGTGTGCTGCTCACTCTGTGTGTGGCATGCTTGTGCACGTCGTGCTTGCTTGGCATGTTCCACTTGCGGCTTATTTCCCGTTGCTTACCATCCAGATGCCTGCGGCAGGCTCCGCCACTTTGCCAGCCGAGCACTCTGTTTGGCGACCGCTCGAACACCGCTCTATGGAATCCTAGTATCGCGTGACGGTTCTCGCATCTAGGCTTCAATGGAGGCCGTGACATCTGACACCTTAGCTCCGTAGGCTCGGGACGGCTGTCACACGATTTAGTCAGCTTCATGCGGACCCAGGGGCCCGCGACAGGGGGGGCGTTCCAGAAGGGCCTCATCTTGTAGGACTGCAGTCAGGATTTTGGCTTAGCGTGTCGCTCCGCCGGCTCTGGCCCACCACGCTTCGGCGCGACACGATATCCACTTCCCAGCCCCCAGGCGTCAACGTCCCAGGCCTTCCTGAGCATCCCGCCCTGCGAAGCGGAGCGACACGCTATCCGCTCTCAAGGGGTAGCGTGTCGCCTGGCCGCCGCGGCGACACGTTGTGCAAATGGTCCCGACCGTGAGAGTCGGAGGTTGATAGACCTCCTGCCCTGACACGTCGATTGGCGAATTGGCCGTTTTCGGCTCGCGAGAGGGCGTCGCGGCCGTCATTTTTGCGGGTCCAGGTCCGTGGGCTTCGGTCCTAGGCCGTTTTCATTCAGGGGATGTGTATTAAAGGGAGGTTTGTCCATCGCCGAAAGAGGTTGACATCTCTTCCGCGGCGGAAGGCCGGCGGACTACGGCCCAAGTAAAACGGGGGTGTCTCCGCCGTCGGAAGCTGGCGGAAGACCAGCGGTAAGCGGCGGAAATAACATATTTGCCCCCAAGAGATGACATGTTGTGTTGGGTGGTCGTAGGGTGTCCAATGCCCAGAGGGCCATAACTTGTACGATCTGCAAGTGCCATGCAGTTGTCATTGATTGACCACTTCGTCGGTTATGATCCCAGCCCTTTGTGCTACCGGCCTCCCTGTAGGGATGGTCGTGACATGTGGCGTTCGATTCTCCCGTGGCCCAGAGGGCAGTGACGTTTGAAACATGCCATTCGTAATCTTTCGTTGGTTGTCCATGAGGTCAGCTTTGGAGGGGTTGGGACCTCAGCAAATATACATACGTTGACTTGCTTCTGTTTACGTGCGTGTCAATATGTACATATATATATATATATACATATTCGAACGTTTGGGGATCACGTGCTGGGATTGAGTGACACAGCGAGTGGCAGGTGTATGTTGAATTGCACAAGTGGTCCGATCCGAGATGTCTACGCACTTCTATGTGTAGGTGCATGCGACGGCATGGTACGCGATATGTAGACGTACCATCAGGCAGGCCTCGATGATTCAACGATGTTTCTTAGCCTCCAGAGTCACCGTTGGTGCGTCGGATCGCATACAACGATCGGCAGGCCGCGCACTAAATGTCACCCTTGCCAAGGATAGGCATTGCGTGCTGCCGATTCTTACAGGACGTGCGCTTCCCAATGCGCGCAGAACCACAACAGGCGAAGCACATGCTCTTGAGATCTTCGGAGGCAGTTCGGTCTTGGACAGCTTGCTGGAGTCTGGCCTCGGGGACCAGGAACACGAGGATGAGGTGGGTGAGGGAGCGGTTGTGGGCCTGGCCAGTTTGCCAGGCCCCCATGTGCGTTTCTTTCTCTTGGGAGGGGGCTGCCTGCAGGAGAGGCTGTCCGCATTGCGGGACGCGACCGCGTACCAGGCGCACCCCGCGGCCAGCCCCGCGTTTGTTGCGCGCTTGCCCCAACTGGCCACCGCGAGGCAATTTACGATTCTTGGTATTGTCACGGTTGGGCCACGGTTGTACGTTTCCTCTGGGGTGATTCGGGCTTCGGTTGTTTCAGACCCCGCCCTCTTTGCTGCTGCACGTCAGGTAGTCAGGGCAGCCTGGTGAGCAAGGGGGTGCTTGTGCTGGGTGCTAGCTTCTGTTTGAGTTCGCACGCTTTTGAACGCGGTGGCCCCTTCGTGTTAGAATTCGGCGCCGACTTCAGCCCCAAACTCTGCGGACCCATCATCTCCACCGTGCAACACGTTGCATGTCATGCCAGAGTCAACGGGCCGTCACCACCTGCGAAGGCCATGAAGGGAGTCAGCACGGCCGGGGCAAGTATCGCACACATTGTACTGTTGTGCAGCAATTGTCAGCGGACTGTTCCACTCGGCATTGTGCGCCGTCGCCGTCTGTATTGAAGATGTGAAGGAGCCAGCGAACCGTGCATACAGCAAGAGATGGGCGCAAGGTTTGCCAGCGACGTTTTTCAATGTATTGGATGAGCCATGTCTGCGCACATACAGCACGTGGTGCGCATGCTGCCGTATGGCCTCCTGGCAAGGTTCGCGCGTGAACGAAAGGTGCACGGCCGTAACGACTCCCAATGCTGGTCACACTCCTCCGTTGTCCTCTGTTTGAGGTTGATGGGCTTGTTTTCCACCACCACCACAGTAAGCTGGAGGGGGGGGGGCCTCCTCTCCCTCTTCTTCCTCCTCTCCCTCCTCCTCCTCCTCCTCCTCCTCCTCCTCCACCTCTTCCCCCCCTCCAACTTCTGGTGGTGGTGGTGGAAAACTGGCCCATCAGAGGTCATGGAGCGACTGCAGAGCCTGCTAGAGCTGATCCGGGGAGACGTGGTCATGTCCAATATTGTCATAGAGGCCGGCCGCGGAGGAACACGAGAGGGAGGCAGCAGCACAATGCGGCAGCGGCAGAAACAGGCGCAGCGCAGCTGGCAGGACAGGTCCGAGGAGAAGAGGCACGAATGCCCGTGGCTGTGGCAGCGGACGGAGGAGGGAGAGAGCAGGCAGAACGTGGGTCCGTGGGAGAGGGGGTGCTTCCCCTCACGTCACTCTGTTTCTCTTTCTCGCCGTCCCATTTGCAGCTGCCACGATGGATGGGGTGGGGCTGCACACCCTGGGAAAGCAGCCTGGCGTCCTTGCGCAGCCCCCGAATCCATCAGTCCATCCGTGGTCGTGGAGCGCGGCGCGGGCGCCTGGAATTCGGGCGGCTTTTGTTGGTCACTGCATCTGGATCCTGGTTCATTTGTTTTGGTCCCTGCGTTTGCCGATTTCATGATTCTGTACGGTGGGGGCGTTGGTTCAGGAGTGTGGCAGAGGGGCTTCAGACCCTGGAGGGTTCTTTGTCTGATGAGACCGGCGGTGATATCCATGACCAAGCCTCGATTGGAGTTCCGTTGGCTTCCAGACCCTGAATTCCCTATCGAAGGGTCCCTTATCCACTGCCCACAACGTATGGTTCGGAGAATGTGTGTGACTTGATAGTCCCATCCCGTCCTTGCATCTGGATTCTGGTAATGTGATTCGCTCGCTGATTTGTCCCAGTGCTCCCGATGATGGACGTTCTCGGCCAGCTCTTCGGCGCTTTTGATGGCGGGAAATCTTTTGGTTCGTCGATATGGTCAGGTACCGCTGGCACCAGGGATGTTCATGTTTCGGTTGTTCCAGCACGTTTGATTTTGATGCTCCTCTTCGTTTGGTTGTTTCCGATTCGCCCCAGTCTCCACGAAATTGGGGAATCGCTCGCCGGCGACCACTACTACGGTTCTCAAAGACCCCGTGTTGTTTCACGGCTTGCCCGTCCAGGCACCACGTGAATGAACAGGTTTTGGAACCTCTTGCAGATGAAATCTGGAGAGTTGAGACTAACATGTATATTGATTGTGAGCCCGATGTGAATCAAGAGTTGCCTAGTAATAGGTAAATCGTGGAGCAATTGCAGATTCACTGAGAGTCAATCGAGGAGCAGTTCTGAACCAAATTCGTGATGCATGCATGGACGGATGCAAGAATCGAGCGGAGGCATGCGACGCAAATGTAGAGCCATTACCGGTATACATCGCGTTATCGAGCGTGGTCTCTTCCGCTTGGTCTACGTGTTCAGCCGCGCGTCAAAGAAGACATCGGCCTGCCATCTAGTGGCCCACAGAAGGTCCTTATCTTCCGATGGCCCTCGGGGCCCGCAGAGAAGCCTTGGGGCATGTCAGGGAGCTCCCCCCCCGACGACAGACGTCCGCCTAGATTTTGTACAGCAGGATCTCCTCATGTGCGTGCCCCCTGTGCCAGTTGCAGGCTTCTCCGCCGAATCTACGAGCGCACCCTTGAGGGTCGCGTGCAGCCTCAGACGTGCTGCCTCCACACGACGTCGACCGATGCCGCAGACAGTGTGAGTTGGCGCTGATGCCGATCGTTCTCGAGGAGGCACAGGCCTGTCCCCCCCCCCCCAAGATGCTGCGCCGCCGGCCGTTGCGTGGATGCGTTTGTTTGTGAAGATCTTTTTGTCCAGGGGGAGGTCTGGCGAAAAAGCGGCTCCTGGTTCCTCAGGAGGTTCTAGAGCTTGCGCCCCCCCCCAGTCTCCTCTCGACCTGCTCCCTCTCCCTGCTCCCCTCTTCCCCCCCTTCCCACCTCCCACCTTCCCTCTCGGCCCTCCTCGCCAGGAGGGAAGTGAGGAACGGGAGGGATGAGGGGAGGAGTTTTTTGAGCTCGACGCTCGCACCGCTGATGACTGCCTCCTGCAGTGCGGGACCTGCAAGAGCGAGGGCAGACTGATCACCTCGCATGGGGAGGCCAGGATGCACCTCCCAAAAGGTCGCGAGCCACACACTGTCGAACTTTACCCAGAGGGAGGCTCGGCCGTGGCTGGCGGAGCAGGAGCACCACCAGCTCAAACAGACAAACAAAAACCGAGGCGGCAGGACGCAGCCGACACAAGAAGAAAAGACAAGGGCGAACAGAGCCCAGACTCGAGTGCGCCTTCCCCTGAAGCGGGGTGCCTGACACGCGTGCAGACGGGACGCACCGCACACCACACACACACACACACACACGCACACACACACACACACGCACGCACGCACGCACGCACGCACGCACGCACGCACGCACGCACATGCACGAGATAGACACAGGCGACGCCAGGACGACGAGTCTCCGCCGACCCCTGGTGTAGCCAACGCCAGGACGGCGGCGGAGCCGCCGCTGGTGTGGGCCTAAAAGTCTCCGTTGTCAGGCTGCACTTGCTGCAGCTCTTCACCTGCATCCACAGTGTCGAAACAAAGCTTGCAGTCGTCGGTATCAACCGTGACGCCTCGCTTCCTGAAGGCGTACTGGGGGTGCTTGCTTTTGCAAAGGTACCCCCATCCGTAAAAAGCAGCTCGCGTTGGAGGCGGCATGCAGCGCTCGGCTAAGCCTCGAACCGAGGCCCCCGAAGTATAACACTTGCAGCGCAGGCATGTGAACAGGACTGACCCATCCGAGCACGGGAAAGCCACTGTGCGGTGGCCCAACTCTTGCTGCCGAGCCGCATGCAACTTAGAAACGTTCGCACAGTGGCCTGGATGTGGCATGCTACCAGCGCGCCTGCCTCTGAGACGCACCACGCACCTCAAGATCCCTGACCATCTCTCCCACCTGTGCGGCACCTGCGGAGCCGACGAGCCGCTCGGCGCCGACAGAGGCGGAGAGTATGGAGCAGCTGAAAACAGCTTCGGCCAGAGCGGCAACAGGTTGGCAGCGAGGATGCAGTACGCTCGAGAGGCATCGACAAGCTCAGAAACATCTTTCAAATCACCTGCCGACGAAGGGTGGAGCTGGAGCCCATGCTTGGCCCCTGCATCCGCGTCAGAGCTACCGTTCCTAAAAGAACCGCTCGCCCTCCGTGATGCCGTCAGCATTTACATCAAGGTGGGCTTTTACTTCGATCACTTCTCTAACTAATTGCTGCTCAAACGTGTTGGCCTGAAGTATCATACCGGGGTAAGCTCTTTGACCCGAGTACTTGTCGGGCATTGGCAACTGACACTGGTGCACCGCATTCGCGCAATCCGAGTAAATCGTAGAGGGGAACATCACGAACTCAGCGACGACAACACAATGGGCCGAACACTCCGCAGCGTGTGGCGTCTGCGGAAGATGAGCCCACACAGGTCCACGCACCTCTCCAAGGCACTCCCCGTCATCCGAATTCATGGTGACAGCCCAAGCGGCACGAGAGAGCTCTCGAACAGGATGGGTCTGGCACGAGCCATCAATGAACAGGTGGCCCCACATTTCTCGGTTGGTCGCGGCCCTGGGCCCCTTGGGGCTTTCCAGCTCAGTGCGATGCCAAACGTACTACTGCAGGGCGTTGGTGCCTTCCAGGGCAGGCCTAGGCAGGTAATTGGCGGGATGAGCGACAGCTCCTCAGGAGTATAAGCAGATGACCTCGCTGGTGGCCTCCGCTGTCAGGGCCGCACTCGCTTCATCAAGCACCGGGGCGGGGACCAGCTGAGCCCTCTGCTCGGCAACTTCTTGGTCGCTGCATTTCCACCATCTGTGGAGGATGGAGTCGGGTTCCTGTCGGCAGCGAGGGCACAGCGGGTCCACTTCATAGCCACAGCTGATCGCACGATCGGCAGTCCAGATAGCGCAGCTCGTGCAAGCGCGGATCCAGCCTCGCTGAGCTGATGTAAATTTCTTTGACGCACAGGCGGACCGAGTAATATCCAAGCACATCCTTTTCCCCACTCTCCACTTACCACCCCAGTCCCTTTCCAATCCTCGCATGTATGCGTCCCTACACAGAGTTTCAAGCATCTTGGGAGAGATGAGGCCAAGGGGAATGGTATAACCTCGGTCATCGCCAATGGTCATGAAATCTTGCATTCTCCAACCAAGCCTGAGGAGGGAGAGGCGGAGGGAAGAGAGGGGACCCTTGACCGTGGGCCAAGTCGCACGATCCTGCGACAACGCAATATGCCAAGCAGCGCGCAACAAGGCAAAAGACAGAGACCCAGCAAAACTCGTGCGTGGGTGATCCAAATATCCTTGCTCCAACGCACCATGGGAGCGCAGGCAGCTCCCCAGCACGGGTCATCCGAAAAGATGCTGACAGCAGTGAGGGACCTTTTCTTGGCAAAGGGGCGGACAATGGCGAACGCCTGGCGCCGCATTAAAAAGCAGGAGCCGTTGGTCCGATATGCCCAACATCTCGGCCCTGTAGGCCCCTCCAGCGAGGGGGGCCGCAGCACAGATTTTGAGCGCCGACCCGCCAACGTGCCCAGTCTGCTTCCTGAGGCGTCGAGCCTTTGTACACATGAGCGTACGCCTTGCTTTCTTCTTGGAGCTTCTGCCCGAGACTCGAGCCGACCGACCGACGCAAAAGTCAACTTCAAAATGAACAATGGAATACATAACTTCCCTCCCAACTCGCCTAGATTGGCAGAGACGTCCTTGGCAAGCCTCTTTCTGGAAGCCACCGTGCAAACTCTGTCAAGCGAGAGTTGGCCCTGCATCTCACCAGTGATAACCTGGTGCAGGACACGCGACATGGACACGATGTGCTGAACAACCTGCTTATGAGATCCAGTGTGAGAAACCCCTGTGCCATCGCTATACACATCAAACTCACTGTCCACATGCGTGGGCAGCGTGCCAAACGCTTCCATGGCGAACATCCGAATGCGAGCGGTCGCAAGGCTGCACCCTACAATCACGCCATTAATCGCAAAGAATGGGCCGTCAGGCTTGCCAGCCACAGACATGAAGTTGCCGCAACGATAGGCATAGAGCGTGACGCACGTGAGAGCTTCAGGGGATCCGTGCTTGTGCACTTGGCTTCCAGCATGTCAAGACCGATCGTTTCATCGTACTTAAGCATATCGCAGAAAACACTGGCACTGCATTCCCTGCGAGCTATGCCCGCCTCGGCTCGGACCGCTTGACACCAGACAACGTCAGGCGCTCCTCGGAAAGCCCCTGCAGCCCAGTACCGACGGGGGTGCTGCTGCTCCCAGGACAGAGCATGGAGACGCCCGGGGCGACCCCAAGCTCTGTGTCAAGAGCAGAACACCCCTATCGGCCTGAAGCTGCCAGTGGGTTTGACGAGGAGGGCAATAAGCACCGCAGAAATCTGGCGAGGAAGCACTCCAACCGACTCCATCAACTCAAACAGCATGCCGAGGGCCAAGAGACCCTCACCGCAGAGGAGATGGTAGTGACGACAGTGGAAGCCATCATAAGTGACTGCAGAACCCAACTTGTACTTCCTAGACACCGAACGCAGCTGGTCGGGGGGGTGGCCCTAGGCAGCGCTAGCGTGATATTCAGAGGACTGGTGGAGCCTGATCCTTTACCCCAAAACATGTGAAAATGGTCATCCTCCTTAGCAAGCAGGGAAAGGGAATCCGAAACCACCGACCCGTCCGCGGCCAGCGTAACCGTTGAGGAGTGGATCGCCTGCGCCTGCCTACCAGAGCCTCGGTTGTCCCGCTGCAGAGCAGCCGAGCTACGAAACTGAGCCCCCGGCCAGCGCATGGCTCGGTGGGCTGGATACCTCGGTTTCCCATCCCTCCCCGCAACTGACCTCCACATAAGCCGAGGCCCTGAACTCCTAGCCCCAACCTGGACTACGTCAGCCCCGAGCAGAGGGATGAGCTCGGCTTCCGCAGCGTCGGCCCAGGCTCCGCAGCCAGTGGAGGGGAGCTCGGCCGCCATGGCCGCATCGCCCTCCTCGACTGCTCGGAGCCCCGACTGGGCCATGTCTAAAGCTTGATCCCAAACCTGCGGCCGAGGGCTGGAACCAAAGACGGGGTCTCGAGGGAAAGGGGGAGGCTTGCGGAAGCAAAGGGTTTTAAGGGAGGCAGGCGGGGGATGAAACTGGCGATTCACAGGCCTGTGCGGACTGAGTTCCGCGTCGTTCACCACGTTGCACCGGGCAACTGCCTTCCCGAAGCCTCCACTGCAAACGAAATAGTCGTACTTGGTCGGGGGTCCCTCCCCGAGTCAGAGTCAGCGAACTGCCCCTGGAGCTCACTCACGAACTTGGAAGACAGGAGGACCCCAGGGGCCATGTTGAAGTCCCCTCCTAAGACAAACGAGCCCTGAAGAGAGGAGCGCCTCGCGCCCAACGAGGCCAACACGCCCATGTTTTGCTCCGAAAGTCCCTCTGCGTTGTGGAGGTACACGCTGCCAACCGAAAAGGTGAACCCACCTGGGACCTGGACGTTGGCCAGCATCGCGTGGCCAGTGCTGACCACAGTGCGTTCACTAGGCGCGAACAGGCCAAGCCAGTCTCGCACCAGAATCACGACGCCTCCACTGGTGTCAGCTTCCGTGGGCAAAGCAGGACCCCAAAGATACTTCCAACCATTGCGGGCACACCACTGGGAGGCAGAGTACAACGCCTCCGCATGAAGGAGGCGGCGCTCCTGAGCCAACCCGGCATCGGCAGGCGTGTCAGGAAGCATCTTCTTGAGAGTGCCCCACGAGTTGCAGTTGATACTGCGCACCTTCAGCTGCACTGAACGAAACCCTTCGGGATCCAGGACCTGGCCAGGAGGTCGGGGACCCAGGGCAGCAGGGGTAGAAAAAGGGCAGGGAGAGAGCCGAGGAGGAGGCAGGAGCCTGGGTCCAGGGACCAGCTCCACAGGACTGCCAGGACCTGGGTACCCCTGGACGGGACAATGCTCCTGAGAGATACCAAAATCGGCCAGCTTACACGAGGAGTCAGCTGGCAGAGAAGCGCGGATCGGTCCTACTTCGTACAAAACTCGATCAGCCCTCCAGAGCGCGCGTCGCACAGCTCCACGCAAGCCTCGCAACAGACTGGCGGCAAGCACGACACCTCCTTTACCGGGAGGGGGTCGACAGGAGAAGGACCGAGAGGCCACGGGATTACAGTCAGGAGTTGTGAAAAGGTAGACTTCCCCCCTACGTCTCGCTTCATAGCTCTTCGTCAGCGGGCGCAGGGGGGGGGGGGCACATCTGCAAGAATCTTGTCAGTTCTCTCCTTGAGGCTGGCGAGGGAAGGCTCGGGTGCGGCGGTGGCTGCTGCACCCTCAGGCGGCTGGGCACCGCCGCTCTTGATACGGTCAGCGGTGTCCTTGGCCTGGGCAAAGAGCTGTGCACGCATCTTCTTGAGACCTCCATTGAGAGCTTTACAACGAGCGTCCATCTCACGCTTGTCCGACTCGCTGAGTTCATAGTCCGATTCACTGGCCGTGAAGAAGTTAGCGTCCACAACAAGGGACGGCTCCAAGTTACCCTCGAGGATGTCTTTGACTGACAGGACTGCAGGAGCAGGAGGCTGGGCTTGAACACTCTGGGAGAACTTGGCCACCAACTGCTTGTGAGAGTATTCAGCTGCACCCAGCTGGGCACGTAGTTCCACAACGAGCTCCCGCTGCTTGACCACGGCCTTCTGCTGCTCCTCAAGCCTCGTAAGTGCTGATTGCAACTACTTCTCGGTAACACGTAATCTAGAACACGCCAAATTGACTTGAGTCTGAATCGGGGGCACCGTGACAGGCGCACGTCAGGCAGCAGCTCCCTTGCGATACATGGCTGCTGCCTCTGCGTCCCGCCCTTCTCCATGATGCTGGCGAGCTGGTCGATCTCGGCCGGGGAGAGCTTATCGGTACCCTTCTCGAGCTTGGGCTTGGCAGAGGCAACGTTGCCGCCTCCGTCCCCTACAGCTGGAGCCGCCGCACCTCCAGCTGCACCACCTCCAGCGTCTCCAGACAATGTAGTCGGAGCTTGCCACGGCGCCTTGCAGTGCGTGCACCACCACCATGACATGCGGTTCTTGCGGCAGCCGCAAGACTCACATTCCCACAAGGCTTCAAGAGCCCTTGGTTGAGAGGATGCTCCCCCTTGCTGTCGCTGTCCTTCAGGCTGCTGCTGAAACTGTGGACCAGGAAGCAGTGGGAGCGATGGTTGAAGACCCCTTTGCCAGACGCCAGCGGCCAGCAGCGGCGTTGCCACCAGCAGCCGCCATGACTGCAGCAAGAGGGGAGTGGTGGGAAAAGGAAATTGGCTCGCAATCGCAAGGCCGTTCCGAAGGGTACGCGATTGACTAAGGCCCCCTGTGGGCCTCGAAACGGCTGGATGAGCGGAGGAGGGGTGGGGAAGAGCGACGAGAGTAGGGGAGGGGAGAGGTGGTGGGCGGGAGACAGAGAGAGAGAGGGAGGGAGAGAGAGGGAGGGAGAGAGAGAGAGAGAGAGAGACAGAGACGGAAAGAGAGAGATAGAGAGAAAGAGAGAGAGAGAGAGACAGAGACATAGAAAGAGAGAGAGAGAGAGAGACAGAAACCGAGAGAGAGAGAGACAGAGAGAGCGCCCTGGTCCACGGGCCCTCGCCCACAGGCCCTGGCCTCTCCTACCCCTTTCCGTCCCCCTCCGCCCACCTCCGCGACCACCCGCCGACGCCGCGAAGGAGAACGGCATGCAGTGCGTGCTGGCCGCCAGCGGACTGGCTGCCGCCACCGATGTGCGCCACGTCGAGCTCGCCATGGCCTGCCTGCGCGGGCCTCTGTGCGAGCCTGCCCTGCTGGCGTGTCGGCTGGGCCTTCTTGCCGGAGAGTCGGAGCTTCCAAGATGGGTCCCTGAGGGATGGGGCCTTACACCCATTGTCTGAAACCCAGAGATCCGAGGCTCCGAGAAAATGCGATCGGCCTTTCTTCGACCATCGTCGGCCCCCAGAGGCCTTCAACGGCTTCCGAGCGCCAGATGTTTGGATTATGCACAATTGTTGCCCAACCATCCTGCGGTGTTGGGTCCGCGTTTTGAAGAGACAGCGCCCCGCGTCCCTCTCTCCTGCTCCCCCCACTCTCTCCTCCCCCTCCTTGTTTTTCCCTTCCGCACCAGTCAACGATTCCGGCACACCCCTCACACGTTCGTGGCCCATAGGGGGCTCCACCGAAGACCCCAGTGGCTGCGCTCGCATGGCACCACCGCGCCCCTTGCAACACTTCCCTCACACGCTTCGTGGCTCCACGAGAAATTCCACCGAAGACACCAATGGCTGCGTTTGCATGTCGCCACCGCACCCATTTCGGCACACCGCTCACGTTTTCGTGGCCCCATAGGGAGCTCCACCTAGGGCTTCGGTGGCTGCGCTCGCGTGGCACCATCCCGCCCAGTTCGGCACACCCCTCATTCGCGTCGTTGCCCCTATAGGGAGCTCCAAAGAAGACCCCAGTGGCTGCGCTCGCAGGGCACCACCGCGCCCATTTCGGCACTTCCCTCATTCGCTTCGTGACCCAATAGGGGGCTCCACCGAAGGCACCGGTGGCTGCGCCAGCATGGCACCACCGCGCCCATCTTGGCACACCCCTCATTCGTTCCGTGACCCCATAGGGCGCTCCACCGAGGGCCCCAGTGGCTGCGCTCGCATGGCACCACCGCGCCCATGTCGGCACACCCCTCAAACTTTTCGTGGCCCCATAGGGAGCTCCACCGAAGACCCCAGTGGCTGCGCTCGCATGGCACCACCGCGCCCATGCTGGCACTTCCCTCACACGCTTCGTGGCCCCATAGGGGGCTACACCGAGGGCCCCAGTGGCTGCGCTCGCAGGGCACCACCGCGCCAATGTTGGCACACCCTTCACACGCTTCGTGAACCCATAGGAAGCTCCACCGCTCCACGGAAGGCCCCAGTGGCTGCGTTCGCATGGCACCACCGCGCACGTGTCGGCACACCCCTCACTCGCTTCGTGGCCCCATAGGGCGCTCCACCGAGGACCCCAGTGGCTGCCTTCGCATGTCACCACCGCGCCCATGTCGGCACACCCCTCAGACTTTTCGTGGCCCCAGAGGGAGCTCCACCGAAGACCCCAGTGGCTGCGCTCGCATGGCACCACCGCGCCCATGCTGGCACTTCCCTCACACGTTTCGTGGCCCCATAGGGGGCTACTCCGAGGGCCCCAGTGGCTGCGCTCGTATGGCACCACCGCGCCCATGCTGGCACGTCCCTCACTCGCGTCGTGGCCCCATAGGGAACTCCACCGAGTGCTGCAGCGGCAGCGCCCGCATGGCACCACCGCGCCCACTTCGGCACACCCATCACACGCGTTGGCATGCGTCCACCGCGCCACTCTCGGTATATCCCTCACACGCTTCGTGGCCACACATGGAGCTCCACCGATGACGGCACTGACAACTGCGTTATCCACAGCTGCATATGGTTGGGTCTCGCGCCTGGCTAATTCGATTCTGCCTGATTTGGTATGGTTGTTCACCCTCTGGCGCGCAACGACCGCTGGCCGGGCCAACCTCCCTCCCCACCTTCCCCCGAGGCAACGGTAACGATCGTACGTAGCGGGTGGCCTGGAATTCCAGAGCATCATTGGGGCTCGCGCGCATATTGTGGTGATTGCAGCGCGCTCCTACCCCGACGTGCCCCGCACCGCCCGAGCGTTACCGGTCCCCGGGCAGCCAACCCTAACCCTAACCCCCCGGGGTACTTGCCCTTAACAAAAACAGGAAAGACAATATCACTTGTCGTGGGGCACTTTTGACCGACGTTCCTTCCGAATTAGAAGGGGTGTGATTCCATTTTCCGTTTGCAGGCAAGTCTCGGACCAATCCCCCGCCAAAGTAGATGTTTCGAATCGTTTGTTCATGCTGTCGGGTGTAAAACGCGCAGCGCCAGACTAGATATATCATTCCCAACGTATTTGGGCTCGTCGCATTCACCGGATACCAGTTCGGGGTAAATATGAATTTGACAGTAAGGGTAGGGCGTTGAAGGTTGAGCAGTAATAGTTTGACAGTGAGAACTTGACAGTAAGAACTTGCATTGTTCAGGGCCTCCTCCCTTTAGGGCCCCATCTCTGAAGTGCCAGGGCAAGGCCAGGAGCAGGGGGAGTTTGGGTGGAGGCCGTGTGGAGGATGGTGGAGGTGCGGGGGAGGAGGGGATGGGGAGGCGGAGGGGGGAAGGTGGCGTGGGGGGAGGGGGGAGGAGCGGGAGAGGTCGGACACATGGGGAGCCTTGGGGAGGGGACGCGGTTGGAGGGGGGACGGAGGGAGAGGGTTGAGGGAGACAAGGGCATAGGCTCTGAGGAGGGCCGACGCCCAGGTGCGAGCTCTTCCAGATCGAGGCCGCGCAGGCCTGGCTGGAGGAGCCAACAGCGCGCCGGGGAACACACGCGCCGCCTTCTGCAGTCTTCCTTTCGCTTAGTAGCCTCATCCTTCTCTTCCTCGTCTTCGTGATCATTCTCTTGATGCCGAGCTCTGGCGTTCTCCATTCTCCCGAGGACGTGCACATGGTGCAAGCTGTGCTGATGTGCACTCTGCTTACTCCAATTCTGAGCGTTTTGTGATAGTGAGTGGTTAGTCTAGAGTGTGATTGACCCTTTCTCCCTCGTCGAGTATTTGAAGGTCGTGCTGGCTGTGTTGGTTTCGAACGCATGCCTGCTGCAACAATTACTGTCATGCCCCCCGTGATAAGTGGTAAGGCGCGAGCTGATGTCGCATTAGTCCTGGTTCTTAAACTGTATTGTTCCAGTGTCAACTCATCGTGTTCTCGGCTGTGTTCCTGAGACAGCTCGTGTGCCTACGGAGGTCAATGCACACGTTGATGTGATCAGCCCTGGGAAGTTGTTGTGGCAGAGTGGCGTGTTCATTTCTTGTTGTCTCGTTCCCTCTTCGCCGCTTGTGCTCGCGTTTCGGCTCGTGCCGGTAGGCACGCTTGTGTGTCGCATGTGGCCAAAGAACGGCATTGTGGGGGTTGATGGTGCGTTCGCTGGAGTCGTCGGTGCCGCCATTGCTCCGTCATCTGCATTGCAGGGATCGGGAACTCCCAGGCGCGGACCGTTCCCCATCCTCACAGTGGGGATAGTGTTATGAGGCTGGCGCTTCCGCCTTCTCACCAGCTCACTTACACACTCTCGAGTCCTTCGTTCGCGCCACACCCAAACTCCTTCATATTGCGAAGGCCTTACAGCCAGTGCCGACGACCCCATTCGCTGGGAGGAGGAAGAGGTGGCAGAGGAGTAAGTGGAGGAGGAGGACGAGGAGAAGGATGAGGAGGAGGGACGGAGGAGAACGAGGAAGGAGAGGGGCAAGGGGCAGTGCGGAGACTACGACGACGACGACGACGACGACGACGACGACGACGACGACGACGACGACGGCGGCGGCGGCGGCGGCCACGGCGACGATGACGGCTACGACGACGGCTACGACTACGACGACAACTATCACGACGACGACGGCTCAGACGGAAAAGCGTCAAGGGAGAGAAATCGAACAGGATAGTTTTTCTAAGAGAGGGGTGTTCCCGGGGGGGGTCACAACATCCGCTCCCCCCTCCCCTCCAGGACCTCCCAGGACTCCCGCGGGACAACCTCCCGGGCCCTTCCTCCCCAGGCGGGGGACGGATCAAAGGGAAGGCGTTTTCTTTCGACTCGATGACGACGTTCCATGATTTCCCACACATCTGTGCGCTCCCACCAGGACCCCTACCTGGGGCGCAGGATCAATGGAAGGGGCTGCACTTCGACATGATTCGGATGCTTCTCGATTTTGTGTTTGCTGATTTTGCTGACGATGTGGATAAACGTTTGAGGCATTCGTGCTCCTTGCAGAGAACATAACAGCGGGGTGTCGAACGGAACAGCTTCTTAGACACGCCGGCAGGGTCGGCGGGGATAGACTTGCTCGTGTTCAGACTTAGCCATACCCAGGATCGCTGTCACGCTCACCCATTCACAGACGACTCACTCACGCTCAGAACACTCATACTCGGACTCACTTACACGCAGACCCATTCGTGATTCGCAGACGTACTCAGGCCTAGCCGTACTCACATCACCCACACATACCCACTCATGCTCAGGCTCGATCATCAGAGAGAAGGGTGTTGCTCGAACGTGAGTATATGTTCCCTGGGCGTGGTTCGTGGTTCGGGATGGTCCGCTTCCGGGATTGGCACTGGATATGCACACTGTGGATGGACATTGTGGTGGACGCTGGGATTGGACACCGGGAATGGGCACTGGGGATGGCCACCGGGGAAGGACTTTGTGCGTGGACTTTGGGGATGGTCATTTGGGCTGGACACTGGGGATGGACTCTGTGGATGGACGCTGGGGACGCTGATTGACTGTCCTGATGTAGTAGACATTGCACTTGCGCCTCCGAAGGGGGTGCCGATAAGTGGCGTTCCACGGACCAGTCTGCGACAGTCTTGTCGGGATATCTCAGGCAGAAGTGCCGTTCTGGGCAGGCTAGACTTGTCATGCCAACCATCGCGACGTAGCAGGTATGACGCCTGGGCCTGCCAACGGGTAGAACGGCCGCGTTGGGAGGTATCACTGTTTTCTATCGGGGCCACATGATCACCGTGATGCAGCAGTGATGGCACTTGGGCCTTTCAAGAGGTGTCGACCAGGCGCGGTGGCGCCCAGCTTGCCTGGACTTATCAGGCCGTATAGCTACTTTTGTCCGGGGTGGGGGCGAGTAGTCGTGCTTGTTTTCAGAGACGCATAGCGATTGCGAGTATCAGTTCTCAAGAATGATGCAAACGCTGTCTTCTCCCTTCTCCCTCCCGCGGGCGGGGCTAGGACAGGAATAAATCGTTCCAGAGCTCTCTGGAACGCTCTCAGAGCGTTCCAGAACGCTCTGAGAAACGCTGCGGCGCCCGATACCTCCAGAACCTTTGGATCTCATAGATCACCACTGCGCCATGGTCCGATGTTGTCCCTGACCTGGCTTCGTTCGTCTTACTCCCCGTCCCCGCCAGCAGCACCGTTGTGCTCGGTTGCGAAAGGTATCCATGTCCCAGGGTGTTCCCAGCATTTCGCTCGATTCTGGTGCCCTGGGCCTCCCTGGGCCATTGGGGTGCTCTTTGGCGGCCGTGAGGGTCTCCGTGGAAATCTTGGGGGCACCTCGGGCCAGGGACACTTCTAGCAACACCCGGCCCCTCCTCAGGAGCATCGTCTGCATCGTCTTGCAGCCGAAACATGGCCATAGCAATTTGGATCGAGAACTTTGGCCCCTTCGCCGAGGGATCGAGGCCCCATGGAGATTCCCCTAACGAAAACGCCCCAGGGTGGGGAGCCCAAGCATGAAGAACAGAAGGGCACCCCTCCAAAATGGAGGCCAGGGGTTGGTGGAGTCGGCGTTTTGCCCCGCGAGACTTTGGCGCTCTCACGCCTCGCACTCCGTCTCCTCATGTTCCTCCTCATCATTCTTGCTCTTCCTCCAGCATCGTGACACAGAGTACGGCTTCTTGGGGCAACCGAGGCCGCAAGTGACGCACCCCCCCCACTCAAAGGAAACAGAGGGCAGGAGAAAGCCGAGGAGTATCGAGAAAGGGCTCAGCGGGCGGCACCTCCCCGCCAGGAGCACCAGGAGGAGGAGCTCCATCCGGCCCTGTTCCGGCGCCTCTTCGCCGCCATCTTCCGTGCGGAGGCTGACCCCCAGCGGCCGCCGCGCTGCTCGCGCGCGGGTGCGTGCGGCGCGCGCGGGGGGCACGGGGTCGGGGGGGGAGAGGGAGGGGGCGGAGTCGACCAGGGGGGAAGGGGGGAGGGGTCCCCTGCCCCCTTGCTCCTCCTCCCCTCTCCCTAGGCAACAATCTGAATACCACTCTTCTCTTTCCCCTGGTGGCGTCCGGGGATTGGTCGCCCCCCCTCCGCGTACTTGTTTTTTACAAATAGGATTCCCGGGAGTTGGCTGTTCGCTTGGTTTTTAACCATGCTGCTCTCGCTGAAGCGCTGGCCTCATTTTCGAGCTACCTCCCGTTCCGAATCGTGCTCTCTCTGGCAGCGCTGGCCCCACTTCCCCGCTTCCGCTCGTTCCGAATCGTGCTCCCGCTGCAGCACTGGCGTCATTATTTCCAGCACCATGCCATTGCATGGTTTTCGGTCCCTCCAAATAGGCCCCAAAATCTAGAAAATGGCTCCCCGAAACAACCATCAAAAGTGATTCCACATTCGGTGTCGTTTCGTTTGTTCTTTGGGCCGAAGATGCCCGCCCCCCACTTTGGGGCGTCGCCACGCAATGCCCAGTCAGGCTACGCGTTGATCTTCAACACCATGCTATGCCATGTAACTCTATGCCCTGATACGACATCCGATTGCGAATAGAGCAAACCGAAATGAGATCTACGCCATGATAAGGGATGGGAGGGAGGGGTAGGACGTCAGATATGACGCGAGTGCACCTGGCTTGTCTTTTCCCCTCCCCCTCCTCCTCCCTCCTCCCTCCTCCCCCGTCGCCCCCGTTCTCCTCTCCTTCTCCCTCTCCCCCTCGCGCCCCCGCCCCCCCCTGGGGCCTCATGCGTGGAAGGGGGTGGGTGGGGGGAGGGTGCAGTGCCGCGGGCGTCGCGGGTGCTGCGCGCGCGGGGTGGCGCGCGCGGGGGGCACGGGCCCGGGGCGGGACAGGCGGTAGAAGAGAGACAGGGGCGTGGCCCAGAGACTCGAGGCGTCGTAAAGATTGGAGCGGCCAGTTCTTGCACATGCTCGACCTCCTCGATGGGCCCGGGGACCGTCAGGAGACGACTCGGGATGAAAAGCGGGCCCGCTGGGAAGTAGTCCAGAATTTTGGGGCGCACGCACCGAAGCAGGTTCGGGGCGACGGGTGCCTGGGGGGTGCGGAGGCTGCTGCGTGCAGCTGTGTACGGCCCCGCCGCCAGGCGCTTTCCTCGATACACTGACGCCTCTGGCGCCGGGTGGGAGCCAGAAAATGAAGTTGCGTAGGGTGATCCGCTAGCCCCCCATTTGTTATCGCTCCTTGTCGTCCGACCCGTGAGGTTGGAAGGGTGCATTGCTCCACCTCCTCCCCCTCCCTAAATCTCCGACCGTATGCCTGTTAGCAATCAGAGGGTTTTCCTTAGGAGCGGCGAGCGGCCACTGAGGGGCCGCTTTCGGGCCAAGGGGTCATCAAACAGTGACCAGAGGGGGAAATACCCCCGGGGAAGTGGTCGGGACCTCTGGGGCCACGGATTGGAAAGATCAGTTCGGCCACGGTTGATGTCATCAGGGTCCTCGCTCTCCTCCTCCCCCTGGCTCATCTCCGTGGGGGTGGGGGACTCTATGTTCGAGGAGAACCGCAATTCAGATGCCAACGAAATCATGGGTCGCCCCGCTGCGAAGCCAGATCAACGGGTGGTGAATTCAGCTCCGCACGTTGATTGAAACGATGTTCTACACAAGGGCAATCGCAATGGTGCTCGGCAGGCTGAACGGTACACGTTGGCCTGTGTTCGTCATCTGGGCATTTGGACTGATGGTGCCCATTGTGTTCTCGTTGCTGGTTGCGGGCCGCCATGGGACGAATGGCAGAGAATGTTTCGGAAATGTTGTGCTGCTACCTTGAAGGGGCTCGAGCCGTACGAATTTTTGTCCAAGAGGGTGATGGGATGAGCGCAGCGGCGAGCAGTCCAGGACTCCATCAAGGAGCTTCGCGACAACATGAGCCAGTCGGACTCAATCGGCACGCTGCACAGGTCACTGAGCCCACAGCCCCTTCGAGCATTGGAGCTGGAGCATGCTGGGGAGGTGCGTTACCACCCCCCAGGGATACTAGTGATACGAGGCCAAGGAGTGGCATTCACTGTGGGAGGCAGCATTGGAAGCTTTTTCAGACAGTACGAGACGCCGCTGTTGGAGGGTACGCCGTCTATCTCCGTTGCGGGTGGTCGTGGGGCTCCTCGTCAAATGCGATTTCGTGTTGGGTTGGGCATCGGCATGCTTCGCCAGGGGACTTCGAGGAGCGCCTCCCTTATGTGGAGCTAGCGGGGGTGGCGTTGTTGTTCGAAGCATGTGGGTATATCTGGCGCGGCCAGGCCAAAGAGTTACCGTTGGTTGAACCCACCAGAAAAGCGAATTGGAAATCGCATCGTCGGCTGCGTGTCCACGGCCGCGCCCTGGCTACGAGAGCCCTGCGCACGGCCGCGGGCCAACGACACAAAGGCTTTGTGGGACGCAGCTGCGCGCGGGAATTGTAGCCTGCCGCGAGATGTTCTTGCAAGTTGTGCAACATGAAACCCCTCGCAACCTTGATGCCGTTTGTGGGAAGGGGCTTTCGGACGTTCAGTCCTTCTACGACTCCATCCAGTGGCCAGGCCTCGTGCAATGCTCGCCCAGCTTGTAGATTCCGCCGCCGACGTCGCATCCGGAAAGTTTGCACTGCGTAGCTGATCGCGCAGTGGGCCAGCTGGAGGGCGCCTCCCAGACCTTGCAACCCACGCGCAGCGCGGAGCAGGGGGTCCGAGCAGGCACCCTTTTTTACCAAGGCCATGGCCCAGTACGTGATGGTTGCGGCTACAGTGGCTTATCGGCTAATCCACGTTTGAAGCACAGGATCTGGATCGGCGATCTGCCCCAAGGTGTTCGACGGTCGCGAACAGCAGCTAGGTGCACTTAGCAGTTTGCATCATCAAGTCCTGCGCCGCGCAAGAAGCAGCTGAATGCACCTCTGACTCTGACGTCGGTAGTCGTTTGCTCCAAGAGACAGGATGCCAAGTGGGTGGCCGCCAACGTCAAGAGGGCTGGCTTCAAAATGCACCCGAAGCTCCAGGCGGCTCTTCACGGCGCGCCAGGATTAACTACCTGCACGGTCCACAAGGCGAAACATCAGCGGATGAGTGCCAAATTCTTCCTCTTTCCGCTGCCAAGAAGTAGCACATGACTGATCGCACTGGGTTGCAGGGAACTCAGGCCGCTTGAGCTCGCGGCCACCAAGTATATGGCACGTGTGGTAGCAAGATGTCCAGCGACGGCTTGGCTTCTTTTTGATAGCCTCGACTCGCGGTCGTTGCTGGACCCGCTTTTTTTCGAGCTTAGGGCGGGCGACCTCGATCCATCCGTCCAGTTGCCGACAGTTCGCCTTGACCAATGGCTCTGCGCACGGATGGGGCCATCCTGACACCTCGTGATGGACTTCGGCAAACGCGGCGCCGAGTTGCTGGTCGCTTCCAGTCAATGCCAGAAGGTTCAGCTCTCATGGCATGTACAGGGCCCTCTGACATTAGTTATCTGTCACCTCGTGCATGCGCGGCGGGGGGTGGGGGGGGCGGCGGGGCCGCAGCTTGGGCCGCCCCACTTCCGCGAGCAAGGACTGGCGAATCGACTGCGGCACGTGCGCAACGGCATGTGCGCGGGGATGCAAAAGCTAGACTCCCACGAGGCCTTCCCTCTTGGAGGGTTTCAAAGCTTCCTTGAGGCGCCGCTGGTGGCTTGGCGCCAGTCGGCGCTACTGCGGGGCTGGCCTGCAGCATGGCGCCGCTTGCGCTCGCCGCGGGCTCTCCACCAACGTCAGGCTGCAGCGCCCGGGCAAGGTCACCGTTCATCAGAAACCAGGTTTGCATGTGATGCGGGAGGTTTCTGGGCGATGAGAGGCGCGCGAGTGGGGCTGCGAGATTCAGCGGCAATACTTTCTGTTCGCGCCACGCCAAAGACCCCGATTCCACGGGCTCGATCAAGGCTTTGCGAGTGCAGCGCAGGAAAGCCAGCGCGCGGCGCCATTTCGGAACTGGCCCCGCAGGCGGTTGCCAAAACGGAAATGGATGAGGGATTTTGGCTCAGAGGTATGATGCCAGCACAGTGGAGGCATGGGCAGGGCTCAACGAATTATCAAGAGGATGGCTTGGTAGGGCACGACTTCGCGCCCTCGCATCCTTCATGGTGATGCGAGCCAGCAGCGATCTCCTTCGCCGCGTCGGCTCCGCCGTTGCCGTTGCTGCGCCCCTCGAACCGCGCGCGAAGCTTGCTGCGGCTGTCCGAGGGCTGCTCGTCGGGCCGTGCTCAGTTGTAGCCGGAGGCTAGCTGCGCGCGGTGATTTTCATTGAATCGGTCATGCACGATCCCGCCCCCCGGCCTGGCGGGCCCCCCCCCTCCCCAGATGGGGCGGGCCCCGGGGCTCGGCGGGCCCCCCCCCGCCCCCATCCTAGATGGGATGGGGGGGCGACGTCGTCGTCGTCGTCGTCGTCGCCGTCGTCGTCGTCGTCGCCGTCGCCGCCGTCGTCGTCGCCGTCGTTGTCGTCGCCGTCGTCGTCGTCGCCGTCGTCGCCCTTCCTTATCCTCCTCCCCCCCTTTCCCCTCGCCCCCGCAGGCCCAACTCTGCTCCGCCCCCCCTTTCTCGCGCCCCCCCTGGAACGAAGAGGCGGCAAGGGGGGCAGAAGCAGACGACGACGGCGGCGAAGATGAAGACGAGGACGACGATGGCTTTTTTTTCAGATCGCAGAGGCAACCTCGGAGCGCGCCCCCGCCGCCCCGCGCCCGCGGGCACTGGCCGCGTCGCGCCCGTGGGGGGGGGGGGGCCAGGCCCGTCGGGGCGAAGCGGGGGGCCCCGACGCCGTCGGCATGGCACGGGGGGGGGGCCTGGATCATATATGCATCGGACTGCCGGCCAGTTGCGCCGGGGTGGTCCAGGCAGAAGGCAGGGCCGCCCAACTGGAGAGGATCGAGACTTTTTGGCGATGCCAGGCCAACTCTTGCAGCGACGAGAGAGCCATGCGTCGGTCATTTCAGCTCTTCGTGGCCCCCCTCCTGGCAACCGCAGACGCGGTGAGAGGAGCTGCGGCGCGATGGATGATCGCGGGGAACGCTGTTGTGGGCGAGGTATTTGGCATGGCTGCCGCGGAGCCCAGAATCCAGAGACCGTGGGATTGTGTATCTTTTCCGCTGGCGCAGGGCTTGTGCGTGTGCGTGTGCGTGTGCGTGTGCGTGTGTGTGTGTGTGTGTGCGTGTGCGTGTGTGTGTGTGTGTGTGTGTGTGTGTGTGTGTGTGTGTGTGTGTGTGTGTGTGTGTGTGTGTGTGTGTGTGTGTGTGTGTGTGTGTGTGTGTGTGTGTGCGTTTTTCTGGCGCGCGCACCTTGCGCGCCGCTCGAGGCGCATGCGATGCAGAGCAGGACAAGCAGGTTCGAATGGAAAAGAAGGCAATCTCGATCCCGCCCGTTCCTCCGTCTGCTCCGCATCGCTCCATCTCCTCCTTGGGCCCTTGCCCTGATAAGTCAGGTAGAAGGCGCAGCAGATGTGAGAACCCGGCCACCGAGCCGCAGCCAGGCGTCTGACGCCGTGCTTGACGCAATTCGATCTGCGGAATTTATTATAAGCACCCTCAGGCCCAGCTCGACGTTGCAGGATGCATTGCAAAGCCGCCCCAGCAACTGCACTTGCAATAGAATGGGAACGTCGGCATTGTAGGGGGCGCTGGTGCTACCGGCACCTGCTGCTGGATAGGCGCTGTAGGACCTGCCGGCATGCCGCCCCCGACAGGCTTGAATGCGTTTCCGCGATCTCCCGCGGGCTCTGGCCAAAGTCTCCGAGCAAGGCGAAGCAAGCAACCCGGCGCGAACAGGCGTCGCAAGGGTCGTCAGTGGTTGCGTTGCGCGTCTGTTCTCAGCACATTCATTGTAGTCGCTGACGTCGTCATATTACTAGCCAGCCGCTCTGCGGTTGATCGGGAGGTTCTGCGCGTAGAAGAAGGGGCACGCACTTCTCGCCGAGAGGAACATGATCGAGATAAGTGAATATGAGCGCGAGGATCAGGAGGGCGAGGCTCGCGAGGGGGAGGGTCAGGAGAGCGAGGGCCACGCGGGCGAGGATCAGGCGAGCGCGGAACAGGAGGTTGAGGACTTGGAGAAGGAGGGCAAGGAGAGCGAGGGTGGCGATAATGAAAATCAGGAGGGCGAGGGTCGAGCGGGCGCGGCGCCCCCCGCTGCCGTGCTGGCAATCTCCACTTCCTCTTCCTCCTCCGTTTCCTCCTCTTCCTTCTCCTCCTCTTCCTCGCGCCGGCGGTCGCGTCGACCTCGGCAAGTTCGCGAGGCCGTCCAAGGGGGGCCTGGCGATGGGCGACGAGGACACCGACGACGACGCCGCGGAGGAGCTGATGAAGAGGTGGCTCAGCGTGACGCTGCGCGCGCGCGGCTTGGAGGGGCCCCTCGTCAGTTGCCGCCTGATCGCGAAGGGCCGCAGGCTCAACCGCGGGGCCATCGCAGCCTAGCGCCTATGCGCCGAGCAGGCGATGGGCAAGAGCGATCACCCGCGCGGCCCGCTGAGCCTCACCGTGGGCCTGGCCGTTCTGGAGGCTCTGATCGCGCCGCCTCAGCCGACGTCGGCGGCGGCGCACGCCGAGGCGCTGACGGGCATGAACACCTTCATCCAGCACATGAAGCAGCTCGAAGTTCACACGGCAGCCGAGTTCAACAAGTACGACCGCGTGGAGAACGCCGTCCGCAAGGATGGGGCCACGGAGATGACCGAGCGCACCTTCTCCATCCGGGGCTGGCTCATGCTCGCGGGCATGCCCTGCCCGGTCAACGCGGCGCTTGCCAAATCCTACCGCGCGTTGGGCAGCTCGCCCAACATAGGGCCTCCTCCTCGGGGGCCACCGGGGCGGCGAGAGCAGAAGTCCTTAGAGAAGAGGAAGAAGTAGCGACGCGCCGATCTCGATCTCGCGGTCGCGATGCCCGGGGGCCTGGCCACGAAGTGTTAGTTCGAGTGAAGCCACATCTAGCGCCCTCCTCCTCGCTCCTAGCTGCGCCAGTCCACGCGGCGAATGAACGACGTAGCGCCACTGCCTCTGCCCCCCGGCCAGGCGGGGGCCAGGCGCGACCCCCGCTGCTTGAGCAATTTAACAATTCCAGAGTGTTCCACGCAACGGCGTCGGAACGCGATGCGGTTCGATACCAGGGCAACAGGTGCCCTAGAGGCCGCGGCCCAGGCAAGGGCAAGGGGCGGGGCCGTCCTCGCCGGAGCTAGATTTTGATTCCGTCGCGCGTTCCCCTCCCCCCCCCCTCCCCCACGGTCTCCCCCCTGCTTTTGGGCTCGCTCCCGAGGGCCCCCGTCTCTGTCTCTGTCTGTCTCTCTCTCTTTCTCTCTCTCTCACTCTCTCTGTCTTTATGTTTTTTGTTCTTCAGACGCCCCTCGCCATGAAAGGTACGATGGAGCGCTCAGTCGGCCGTTTTCTTGACGCGCACAAGGCTGCGTACCGCATCGATTCTATCGTCCCCAAACACCATTATCAGTGGCACGCTCTGGGATACAAAGAGGACGACATATTTCTCGATTGTTTCGTGCACGGAAGGAAGAACAATATCGTGAAGCAAGCAATGACTCACATCACGAACGCAAGTATTTGAGAAGAGCGCGCTACAGCAGCTCCTCGTCAAGGTGCCCCCAGCGATGGACAACGTCAAGATGAACGAATTATGCGAGCCCGTGGTTGCGAGCCAGCCGCTGTCCGACAAGTTTGGCCAGCTTTGCTTTGTGTTTAAGCAGATGAGGTGGCGGGGCTGGTTTGTCAGCGCTGGCAGTGTGGTTTTCGTTCAAGATGTGGCAGTGGAGGTTCAAGCGTGCGTTTCGGTAGGTTCCGTTCTTGGGCTGCTCGTGGCAACTTTGCGCTGGCGCATCGCTTGCCGATGGGTGGATACTCGACTTGGAATAGAAAGGGACAGTCCGAGCGGGACAGTCCGAGATCCTGGAGCCCGAGGGGGCGCGCAGGGCGACGGCACGGTTCATCAAGAGCGACAACACGGTCGTGGTGTTGCATTGAGCGCTGGGAAAACCATCAGGAAAAAAGGATCAGCCGCTGTAGCGGATTACCCGTTCATCATCATCACCGTCATCATCATTATCATCATCACCATCACCATCGCCATCATCGTCACCTTCCTTCTCCCACCTCCTCGTACCGCCACCCTTCTTGTTGCGGGTAAAATACCGATTAACCGCTAGCGGATTAGCCGCCACGCGCGTCGTTATCCCGTTCCACTTCTTCTTATGACTTTGTCTCTTCTTCTTCATCCTCGTTCCCCTCCGCCACCCCATCCTCCTCCTCCTCCTCTTCCTCCTCCTCCTGCTTCTCATCCTCCTTCTCCTCCTCCTTCTCCCCCTCTTTGCTCCGCGCCGCGTTTTTTTGTCCGTGCATCAGCACGTCCGGTTGTCCGTCGCGGGGGCGAGCTACTTACCTAGCCCACGTACCGTACAGACGTATTGTAGTTGTTATGCCTTCGTTTCTTCGTATCAGGGATAGTTTGTTAGATATGTAGCGGTTGGTATGTCTTACTTGTTATATTGCGCGATGCCGTGCACATGCTAACACATATAAAGCACTTTACATTGTATGAACACTTGGCCATACTTGCAAGTAGGGGTAATGCTGCCTATTCGATATATATATATATATATATATATATATATATATATATATATATATATATATATATATTATATATATATCGTATAAACTACAACAATTCTCCCAGCCATTCAAGCTTGAGGGCCTCCTTGGAGAGGCTTCCGGGGCGGTTGTTCTGAGGTCGGAATTCGTCGCCGGATTCGCCGGATTTCCCGGATTTCCCAGATCTCGCCGGAAACGGGGGGGCCGTCGGCGGGGTCATTACCTCGCGCGCCAGGGGTCAGCATGACGTGAGTTCCAAAGAAACTGTTTCAATCCATGTTCAGTTCCAGCTCCCCTCCGTTCCCTTCGCTTTCTCCTCCTCTTCCAGTTCTCTAGTTAGCACCCTGACTACGACGCACCTTAGCAACCCGGGCTCGAGCTAAACAGTGTTTTTCGTTTTCGTTTTGTTTTTGTTTTCGCTCTCCGTCGTTATTTTCTTCGTTCTGCCTTTGCTGCGAAACGAAAGCAAAAAAAAACGGCCCACGAACTCGCCAAAATACCGTTTAGCTCGAGCCCTGTTAGCAATTGCGTTGCCCCAATCTCGCCATAGGGTCGGCTAGGACCGGATGAAGCTTCATAGTTTACCCACCAAATCGCCGCTCCAGAGCCCTCCAGAGGGGAGACACAGCGAGGGCCCAGACGCTCAAAGGGGCGGGCCCTTCCTCCGCCCACCACCTCCCTGCTGCCGCTCCCCCCCAGCACTCGGCCATTCTCATTCCTGTCAATCCCATCCCTCCGACCCCTGACGCCTCGTCAGCCCACCGGCTTCAGGCCCCGCCGCGCGCGCGACCTCCCCCGCCCAATTTGGGGCAGCGGTCGGTGGGGTTAGGCATGGGGGGGACGCATCAACCTCGGAAGGCTGATACCCTTTTGATCCGTCGACGATGCATCGCTGATGTCAGGGTACGTTGCCCAACTCATGTGTACGCGCCTGGGCACGCCAAGGATGACGGCGCGATGCGTCGGCCATGCATCGGCTATTCGAGGTCGACGCACCCCCCCCGCCCCATGTGCCCAAACACCCCCATCGTTGCCCCATCAGCCTTGCCACCCGCGCGCCCCGCGCGCGCGGCAGCCCGCAATGGGGGGCACGTCGTCGAGCCACGTGCACGTGCACGGGCTGTATCCCGGTCAGGCGCACGGCGCGCCGCTGCCCGCCCTCTCTGGCCGCGCGGCGCGTTCCGCGAGCCGCGGGGCCCACGGGGACCCGAGGTTCCGAAGCAATGGAAGCGGCCGGCTTTTTGGTCCGTGTGCGGCCTCATCCTCCTCCTCCTCCTTTGCCCTCTCCTCCTCCTTGTCCTCCTCCTCCTTGTTTTTCTCCTTCCTGTCCTCCTCCTCCTCGTTCTTGAGCTCAAGTTTTTATACTCGAACACATAACGCGCGTTATGTGGCCTCCAACCCACTCACCCACCCAGTAGATAACATAACGCCCGACGCCCCACCCACCCCCGTTGCAGCAGCGCGTGTTGTTTAGCGCGCAGGTATGCTGTTCGTAGTGCGCGCGCAACGTGTTTGCAGCGTGCGCAGGCATTTGCTTGTGGTATGTAGAGGCGCGTGGCGCGCGCAGGCTGATGTGGCACCCACGCAGGCGCGGCGGCACACCCAGCAGTGGAAACAACGAGCAGTTCGGCGTGCATAGCGCACACGCCGGCTGCGGCGGCAATTGTGGTGCACACAGGCGCGGTGGTGTCCAGCATTGTCGTACGCAAAGATAATTACTGTTGTCCGCGCAGGCAACGGGGGTATGGGGCCGTGCCCTGGAGGTGTACACGGGCTTTGTGGTGTACGCAGGCACAGCGATGTACATGCTGGATGTGTATACAGGCACAGGGGTGCATTCGTACCGACGTTAGTAGCGGGGAGGGTCGTCCAGAAGAAAATATAAACCCAGCCAGACAGTCCACGGGCTTTCTAACACGGCATTGCCGTGCAGGCGCGGCGGCGGATTACATTCCAGCTGTCGTGCAGACTCGGCGGCGACCTCGGGGGGGGGGGGGAGTTTGTCCGCCCGCGTAGTGTCGACTGGGGCCGTTCTGGCGCGAGCCGCCCGTCGGGAACGCCCGACGCGGTCCTACCAGGCGGGCGGCTGCTCAGTAGCGTCTCTTCTTTGGAGACGGTCACCAGCGTCTTCGGGCCCGCCCGCGCTCCATAAAAAAAGGACGAGGAGGGCGAGAGGTAGGCGGAGGAGGAGAAGAAAGCAGACGGCGAGGAGGAGGAGGAGGGAATTGCATTGCATTGGGAACCAGCATCAGTGGTATGGGGGGAATTCTCCTTCCGGCGTGTGGTACAGGCACCGTGCTCGCATGCGTCAGCAATCACGGTTGACGGTAAATTGAGTAATGGCTGGCGCTGCTTCGTTCAAAGCCCTCCTGAGGTGATGCGGATTCATCTCGCTCTCAGCCCTTCGTTCCGGGAGTGTGGACAGGCAGAGACGGCGAGGCGGGAAGAGGAGGCCTAGAAGGAAGGAGGAAGGAGAGGCCTCACCTACAGCCTCAACCAACCGCAGTGGCCATCACACCTGCACGATGTAAGTATGTCCTGCACGATGTACGTATGTCCATGTAATTTAGGCACCCTCGGGCCCTCCAAACCTCCGGAGATCCCCGCGGACTTCCGGGCTCTCTTGACCCCCCCCCAAAAAAAACGGGCCCCAACAAGGCCCTAAGAGGGACCAGCGGGGGC